GCCGCCGAACCGAGGCATCAGATGGGGGGTCGGTTCGGGGAGGGTGCCCTGCTGTTCTTCGTGTCTGTGGGATGTTCTTGTGCGTCCAGGGGGGAGGGGCCCCTCGAGTGATCTTGTGGCCGGGGTTGTCTTGGCGGCGGTGAGTCTCAAGTTCTTGAAGGAGGTTCTTCGGTTCCTGGTCTGAGACGGAACTCGTGGATTGGCTGGCAGAGGCCAAGTGGGGGGTATACACTGATACGGCATGAGGACAGGAGAAGAAGGGCCAGGAGGAGAAGGGAGAGGAGGAGGAGGATCAGGATGAGGAGGAGGTGGAGGTATAATGGCACGTGGCGGGAGCAGGAGGAGCAGCAGAAGGAGGACCAGTGAGCACGAAGGAGGCAGAAGAGAAGCGGGGGGGCGGGGGGAGTAGGAGTGAGCAAACAGATGTGGTTCCGCACACCCTAGCCCATGTAGACAGTGCCCTCCCCAGGTCCCTCTGGGCATATGACTCTGAGGTGTAATGTTGCTCTCCCCTTTCGGACCTTTAGAAGGATGAGATCGAGGGCTCGAGGGATAGAAACAATAATGGTAAGATGAAGCTTAAGCTGAAACTGAAGCTCATAATGGTGACGATGATGATTATGATGCTGATGATGATTCTGATGATGGTGATGCTGCTGATGATGATAATAACGATGATGATGCTCATGATGAGGATGCTGCGGATGATGATGATGACGATGATGATGATGATGATGATGATGATGATGATGATGATGATGATGATGGTGATGATGGTGATGATGATGATATTGATGATGATGCTGATGATGCTGCGGATGATGATGACGTTGCTGATGATGCTGATGAATATGAGCATGACGATGTTGACGATGATGCTGATGCTGATGCTGCTGCTGATGATGATGATTACGATGCTGTTGATTGTAATGATGATGATGATGACGATGACGATGATGCTGATGATGAATACAATGATGCTGATGATGATGCTGATACCAGTGCTGCTGCTGATGATGATGATGATGATGCTCACGATGCTGATGATGATTCTGATGATGCTGCTGATGATGATGCTGATGATCATAATGATGACGATGGTAGTGCTGCTGATGACGATGATCCTGATGATGGTGATGATGCTGAGGCCTCTGATGATGCTGATGATGATGATGACGATGCTGATGGTGATGATGGTGATGATGATGACGATGATGACGATGATGATGATGATACTGGTCAGGCTGCTGCTGATGATGCTGATGATGCTGATTGGTGATTGTCTGATGATGATGATTCCCATGAAGCTGATGATGATGCTGCTGATGCTGATGCTGATGCGGATGCTGATGCTGATGCTGCTGATGGTGCTGATGATGAGGATGATGCCGATGGTGATGCTGCTGCTGATGCTGATGATGACGATGATGGTTGTGGTGGTGGCGGTGGTGATACTGATTCTGATGGTGATGTCGATGATGATGATCATCATGATGATGAGCACGATGATACGAATGCTGCAGATGATGATGCTGCTGCTGCTAATGATGATGATGATGATGATGATGGTGATGATGGTGATGATGATGATATCGATGATGATGCTGATGATGCTGCGGATGATGATGACGTTGCTGATGATGCTGATGAATATGAGCATGATGATGTTGACGATGATGCTGATGCTGATGCTGCTGCTGATGATGATGATTACGATGCTGTTGATTGTAATGATGATGATGATGACGATGACGATGATGCTGATGATGAATACAATGATGCTGATGATGCTGATGCTGATGATGACGATGATGATGATGATCATGATGCTGCTGCTGCTGCTGCTGCTGATGATGATGATGATGATGATGATGATGATGATGAATCAGAGGAGCAGGAGGAGGAGGAAGAGGAGGAGGAGGTGGTAGTGGAGGAGGAGAAGAAGGAGGACCAGGAGGTAAAGTGAGGAGAGGATGAGGAGGAGGATGATGCAACGTTAGGAGGCAGTTGGGAAAGTGGAGGGGAGAGGAGGGCTGAGGATTAGGAATGATCGTAGCCCACTCCATTCCCTGTGCTCCAACCTCCAACCGCCTGCTCTCCTTCCTGACTCTCCTGGCTTCTTCTCATAACCTAATGCTCAGCAGGCTTATCCTCCTTCTTCTTGTCCTCCTCCTAATGGTACTCCCTTGCTCCACTTCGTGTTTTCTCTTCATTCCCTCTCTTTTATCCCGCACCTCCTTATTTTCCTGATCCTTTGCTTTTTCTTCCTCCAGTCCCTCTCCTGTACCTCCTGTTCAGTCTTCTCCATCGTCCACTCGCCATCCACATTTTGTTCTCATTATGTTCCGTCCTCCATGCTCTTCGCATGACCCCCTGGGCTTCTGCATTTGCTTTGTTCATGCGCACTACTTGTCCACGGTGCTGCTCACGCTTCCTCTGTTTGGTCCTGATGGTCGTCTTCATCGTCGCTTCCTCTGTCCTATGGAGACGGTCGCACTCCTTGTCCTCGTTCTCTCCTCCCCACTCTTCTCTTTCGCACTCGCCGCTTTTCGCCTCTTCCGACTGCAGCCGCGCAAGGCAAGTGCAGCAGGACTTGCAGGCGCTTATCAGAAATCAGCCGTCCACCGGGGTGCACGAGGCTGTGTGTTGTCTTTGCCAGGTCTGCTTTTTGGGGTCGTCGTTGCGTCATGGGCAGAGGCCGACAGGCAAGCTGGTGGTCCTGCTCCACGGGGGTTCGGGAGCGATCGCACGAGCTTTGGCCGAGATTTTTGATTTCTGTTCAGATAGATATCTCGGAAGGGGTCTTGCTGCAAATCTATCGCCAGGCGTATGGGATTTGGAACTGAGGGCAGACTGTATCGTACAGTCGAGCTTGTTTAGTGGGTCGACCATGCCAAATCGAGGGTACCCTTGTGTCCTGTCTATCCCGACCTGTCAAACCCGCATTTCCTTAGGTGTTCTGGAGCCGCGTTGCCGTCGGAGGAGTCGTGTCCTCTCGCGTGTCTTTCCCATGAAGTCCGACCAAGCAGCGCTCTATTCCCCGGCTCGGTGGTTTAAACACTGGTTGAATAGGGTTTTCCTCCGTCGACTGGGGAAATGAGCAGTGGCCAGGAGACCACGCTTGTATTGAACGTAGTTGTGTGTTGTCCATGCAAGAGCAGAAATCAAGATCATTACCATCAGGCGACCGCACAGGTTCCCCGAAAAATGAGCGGGGAATCCCCCAACTGCCGGGAAGTAGTCATAGTATCAATCGTAATAGTAGTAGTAGTAGTAGTAGTAGTAGTAGTAGTAGTAGTAGTAGTAGTAGTAGTAGTAGAAGTAGAAGTAGAAGTAGTAGTTGTAGTAGAAGTAGTATTAGTAGTAGGAGTAGTAGTAGTAGTAGTAGTAGTAGTAGTAGTAGTAGTAGTAGTAGTTGTAGTAGTAGTAGTAGTCGTAGTAGTAGTAGTAGTAGTAGTAGTAGTAGTCGTAGTAGTCGTAGTAGTAGTAGTAGTAGTAGTAGTAGTAGTAGTAGTAGTAGTAGTAGTAGTAGTAGTAGTAGTCGTAGTAGTAGTAGTAGTAGTAGTAGTAGTAGTAGTAGTAGTAGTAGTAGTAGTAGTAGTAGTAGTAGTAGTAGTAGTTGTAGTAGTAGTAGTAGTAGTAGTAGTAGTAGTAGTAGTAGTAGCAGCAGTAGTGGTATCAGTAGTAGCAGTAGTAGTGATAGTAGTACTAATATCAGTAATAGCAGTAGTAGCAGTAGCAGTAGTAGCAGTAGTAGCAGTAGTAGTAGTAGTAGTAGCAGTAGTAGTAGTAGTAGTAGTAGTAGTAGTAGTAGTATATAGTAGTAGTAGTAGTAGTAGTAGTAGTAGTAGTAGTAGTAGTAGTAGTAGTAGTAGTAGTAGTAGTAGTAGTAGTAGTAGTAGTAGTAATCGTAATAGTAGTAGTAGTAGTAGTAGTAGTAGTAGTAGTAGTAGTAGTAGTAGTACTAGTAGTAGTAGAAGTAGTAGTAGTAGTAGAAGTAGCAGAAGAAGTAGTAGTAGTAGTAGTAGTAGTAGTAGTAGTAGTAGTAGTAGTAGTAGTAGTAGTAGTAGTAGTAGTAGTAGCATAGTAGTAGTAGTAGTAGTAGTAGTAGTAGTAGTAGTAGTAGTAGTAGTAGTAGTAGTATTAGTAGCAGTAGTAGTAGTAGTAGTAGTAGTAGTAGTAGTAGTAGTAGTAGTAGTAGTAGTAGTAGTAGTAGTAGTAGTAGTAGTAGTAGTAGTAGTAGTAGTAGTAGTAGTAGTAGTAGTAGTAGTAGTAGTAGTAGTAGTAGTACTAGTGGTTCAGATAGTGGTAAAAGTAATAGTAGTAGTCGTCGTCGTCGTCGTCGTCGTCGTCGTGGTCGTCGTCGTGGTAGTAGTGATAGTAGTGGTAGTAGTCGTAGTAGTAGTAGTAGTAGTAGTAGTAGTAGTAGTAGTAGTAGTAGTAGTAGTAGTAGTAGTAGTAGTAGTAGTAGTAGTAGTAGTAGTAGTAGTAGTAGTAGTCGTAGTAGTAGTAGTAGTAGTAGTAGTAGTAGTAGTAGTAGTAGTAGTAGTCGTAGTAGTAGTAGTAGCAGCGCAGTAGTAGTAGTAGTAGTAGTAGTAGTAGTAGTAGTAGTAGTCGTAGTAGTAGGAGTAGTAGTAGTAGTAGTAGTAGTAGTAGTGTGTAGTAGTCGTAGTAGGAGTAGTAGTTAGCAGCAGCAGCAGTAGTAGTAGTAGTAGTCGTAATAGTAGTAGTAGTAGTAGTAGTAGTAGTAGTAGTAGTAGTAGTAGTAGTAGTAGTAGTAGTAGTAGTAGTAGTAGTAGTAGTAGTAGTGCGACTACGAGTAGTACTAGTAGTAGTAGTACTACTCGTAGTAGCCGCCGCACTAGATACACTTACACTGTTCTTAAGCGCTGGTGTAGCAGAAGTATCAGCATCTCGGAAGCATCTTAGAGGCCTCGTAGAGACCTCGTAGATGTTTCTTGGAAGCCTCTTTACAGGCCTCTCAGAGGCTCTTAAGAAGCTCGTAAGAGGCCTCTTAGAAGTCTCTGACAGGTTTCTAAGGTCTCCTGGGGGCCTCAAACAAGAAGCCTCTAGAGGCCTCGAGGAAGCCTCTAGAAAGCCTCGGCCTCCAAGGAGCTTCTTTAGACGCCTGTTAGATGCTTCTTAGATGCTTCTTTGTGGCTTCTTGGAAGGCTCTAACAGGCCTGATCGATACCTTTCTGCGACGAGTGAGTTTTTCTCATGTTTTAGAAGGAAAAGTAACCGGCGAATGAACCAGTTTGACTGGGGGAAAACTCCATCCCACCTGTGTCTATACACGCTTAATCTGGTGTTGACAATCCGACCAGTCCGACTGCAGGGCTTCGTTCATTCAGACATGGTTTCGGCATTCATACCCTTTCTTATGTCTTGCCTTTAGGCCCCTAAAGTGGAAGGGTATACTTTCCGCTGAGCGCGTAGTTTTTCACGCGCAACGTAGAGCAGACACCAGGAGTTGTTATGGCCTCGGGCCTGGAAACCTATGAGACACGTAGCAGCAGAGTTGGTTTGAACGTGGGTTGTTCGTTGAGAAGGTCTCGAGTGCTCTCCGCTGCGAAGTTCAAATAGGCTTCAGACGAGGATGACAGGGAGGAGCAGAACCAGGAGCAGGGGCAGGAACATATGTAGATGCGGACGGTGGTGGTGGACGTGGTGGTGGTGGTGGTGCTGCTGCTGCTGATAATGATAATGATTGTGATCATGATAATGATGATGGTGATGATGACGACGATGATGATGGGGCTGATGATGTTGATGGTGATGGTGATGATGATGGTGATGGTGATGATGCTGCTGATAATGACGATGATGATGATGATTCTGATGATTCTGATGATGATGCTGATGATGATGATGATTATGATGATGATGATGATGATGATGATGATGATGATGATGATGATGATGATGATTGGTGATGATGATGATGATGCTGCTGATGATGATGATGATGATGATGATGACGACGATGATGATATGATGATGATGAGCAGGATGGTCAGCAGGACAATTAGAAGTTTCACTAGCAACAATGGGATGCTCCGAAGGTTAGGAATCAGGAGGGGTAGCGGGACGATGAAGATGGCGATGGTGGATGGTGAAAGATGATGTTGGATGTGATGGTCAGGATGCTGCGTAAGCAGAATGCGGGGGAGCAGGGGAATGAAGATGAGGAGGAGCGGCGGGCGCAGCAGGATCAAGAAGAGGAAGAACCAGACGACCAGTGGGAGGGCGAAGAGGGTTGGAGGGCTCCGGTGCTTGCGGCACGCAAGACCTGGTTGGCCAAAGGTCATCAAGTACGTCACTGGTGACTTGGGTCAGCTGCTTTCTCACCTGAATGCCGCGGTGCCCGGATGAGGATGAGGGGGATGGGGAGGAGGAGAAGTAGGAGGAGGAGAAGGAGGAAGAGCATGAGGAGGAGTAGGAGGCGGGAGGAAGAGCATGAGGAGGAGGAGGAGGAGTCGGGATGACAAATAGGATAAGGATGATGCGGATGAGGACCATGAGGAGGAAGATTATTAGATGAGGCGCTTGTCTGGGAGAGCGATGAGAGAAAGGAGAGGAAGGGCGACGATGCTGCTGATGATGCTGCTGATGATGATGATGATGGTGATGGTGATGGTGATGGTGATGGTGGTGATGATGATGTTGATGATGGTGATGATGATGATGTTGGTGGTGGTGATGATGATGAAGAGGAGGAGGATGAGTTAGACGAGGGATGGTGGTGATGCTAATGATGATGATGGTGGCGGTGGTGATGGTGATGATGATGATGATGATGAGGCTGAGGCTGAGGCTGATGATGACGATAATGATGTTCGTGATGGTGAGTATGATGATGCTTCACATGATGATGTTGATGATGATGGTGCTGATGATGCTGATGAGGCTGAGTACGATGATGCTGTTGAAGATCACGATTCCTAGGATGCTGCCCATGCTTTTGATAATGACTATACTTGTGACGATGATGGTACTGATTGATGGTGATAGTGATGATGGTGAGGATGGTGATGATCATGATGATGGTGATGATGATTAGGTTGATGATGATGATGATGATGATCAGGATGACGACCACGACGACGACGATGATGATGATGATGCTTATAGTGATGATGATGGTGGTGATGCTGGTGATGATGCTGCTACTGATGATGATGATGATGATGATGATGATGATGATGATGATGATGCTGATGTATGATGGTGTGGATTCTGGATGGTCTTGATGAGGACGATGCTTGTGATTATTGTAATGATTGAGATGATGATGATGATGATGATGGTGATGATGATGCTGCGGCTGATGATGATGTTGATCATATTCGTGGCTGGTGAGACTTAGGATAATGGTGTTGATAGTGCGATGATCATGTTTATGCTGATTATGATAATGAGGCTGATGATGATGATGATTGTGTTTATGATGATCTTGATGATAATGCTGGTGTTGATGACGATGGTGATGATGATGATGATGATGATGATGATGCTAATGTTGCTGATGATGCTGCTGCTGGTGATGATCATGATGACGACGACGACGATGTTTATGTTGATGTTGTTGTCGTCATCGTCGTCCTCGCCGTCGTCGTCGTCGTCGTTGTCGTCGTCGTCGTTGTTGCTGTTATGTTGTTGCTGTTGGTTTTGTTGTTGTTGTTGTTGTTGTTGTTGTTCTTGTTGATGCTGTTGTTGTTGTGGTCGTCGTCGTTGTTGTCGTTGTTGTTGTGGTTTTCGTCGTCGTCGTCGTCGTCGTCGTTGTGGTTGTTCTTGTTATTGTTTCTGAAAGTGAGGATGGTCTTAGTATCGACGATTCTGCTGACGGTGTCGATGATGATGATGGTGGTGGTGGTGGTGATACTGATGATGATGATGCTGCTGCTAATGATGATGTTGATGATGATGATGTTGATGTTGTCGATGATGATTGTGGTGGTGATGATGAAGATGCTGCTGCTGATGATGATGCTGATGATGATGATGCTGCTGCTGCTGCTGATGATGATGATGATGATGAGGAGGAGGAGGAGGAGGAGGAGGAGGAGGGGGAGAGGGAGGTGGAGGGGTAGTGGGAGGGCGAGGGGGAGGGGGAGGATGAGGGGGAGGGGGAGGGGAAGGGGAGGAGGGGGAGGAGGAGGAGGAGGAGGAGGAGGAGGGGGAGGAAGAGAAGGAGGATGGATGAGGAGCATGAGGAGGGTGGAGGATTAAGATCAAGATTTGGCGCCGCACCGCGGCCGCCTGCACTGGGCACGGTCGCGTCGACGCTCCGCCGCCCGGACCCTGCGGCGCTTTCAGGGCGCCGGTTGTTGCCCGAGCTCGAGCAAGCGCCGCTCGACCTGTCAGTGACGCAGCGCGGAGGCTGCCAGCGTGGCGTGGCCGTCCGCTGCAGCGTGCCGTGCTCGCGAGGGTGGCCGCGCCCTGCGCTCCGCGATCTGGGCCGCAGCGGTGTCCTCGAGGCGCGGGGCGCGGCCCCGGACAGGCGATCGGCGCCCTTTGTCTCGCCCGTGCCCCTGCTCACACCCGAGCCCCACGGGGGCCGCGCGCCCGCGGCGGCGGCGAGGCCGCGGTCGGCGGTAGGCGGACATGCGGCGCGCCGATGCCGCCCTTTTGCGCGCGAGGCTGCCGGCGGGCCGTCTGGGCGGGCGGCGCCGCGGCACAGGGCGCGCTGGACGGGCGGGGCGCGCTCAGAGCCTGGCCAGCGGGGCGGCGGCGGCGAAGGCGGCGGTCGGCGCGCTGGCTCTGCGGCGGGGCGTTGAGCCGAGAGTGGGGCTCCTTCGCTGGGCGTTTGCTGGAGCTGCGCGCCAGGGTTGTGGCGCTGCTCCTGCGCCGTCGCGGAGGAGCCCGCGGTGGTCAGAGACCGCTCGGCGGCGCAGGCTTGGTCAGCTGGATGATCATGATGATGATGATGATGATGATGATGATGATGATGATGATGATGATGATGCTGCTGCTGCTGCTGCTGATGCTGATGCTGATGCTGATGCTGATGCTGATGATGCTGATGATGATGCTGCTGCTGATGATGATTATGATGATGCTGCTGCTGATGATGATGACGATGATGATGATGATGATGCTGATGCTGATGCTGATGATGCTGCTGATGATGATGATGCTGATGCTGATGCTGATGCTGATGCTGATGCTGCTGATGGTGATGATGATGATGACGCTGATGATGATGATGCTGCTGATGCTGATGCTGATGGTGATGATGATGATGATGATGATGATGATGATGATGATGATGAGGTTGATGATGACGAGGATGATGATGCCACTGCTGCTTCTGATGATGATGATGCTGATGATGATGATGGTGGTGATGGTGATGGTGATGCTGATGATAATGCTGATGATGATGCCGATGCTGATGCCGATGATGATGATGATGATGATGATGATGATGACGATGATGCTGGTGATGGTGATGATGATGATGATGATGGTGATGGTCATGATGATGATGACGATGGTGATGATGATGATGATGATGATGATGATGATGATGCTGATGCTGATGCCGACGATGATGATGATGATGATGCTGCTGATGCTGCTGATGGTGATGATGATGATGATGATGATGACGCTGATGATGATGATGATGATGATGATGACGATGCTGATGATGATGATGATGATGATGATGATGATGATGATGATGATGATGATGATGCTGATGCTGATGCTGATGCTGATGATGATGATGATGCTGATGAGGATGCTGCTGATGATGATGCTGATGCTGATGCTGATGCTGATGCTGCTGATGATGATTATGATGATGCTGATGATGCTGCTGCTGCTGCTGATGATGATGATGATGATGATGATGATGATGATGATGATGATGATGATGATGATGATGATGATGATGATGATGATGATGATGATGATGATGATGATGATGATGATGATGATGATGATGATGATGATGATGATGATGATGATGATGATGATGATGATGATGATG